TGCAGTGGAATTTAGATATAACATTTAGATACAATATAGCTAACTTTGACACAATGAAATAATACATATATATCTGCTAAATAACGTGACAATTATTATTAGGTATATGTTTATTGCTTTTATATTTAATTTTGTTTCCATGTTTATAGCAGTTTTTAGTGTATACGCACTAATTTTTAACACAATGCAAGTGAATTCGTTATTAATCGCAGAGTAACTGCATTTTACGTTCTACGTGTAATAACATATAATGACATGATTAGTTTGCTAAACGTCTGAACGCATTATATGTGACATAATATATGATGTATTATGTGTGAGTGCGCGTGTTTTTCAAAAATTGAATTTGAATCATGATATGATTCAGACAACTCTGATATTAATATTAAATCTTATTGGATCGTGAGAGCTTTTAAACTACTCTGATATTAATGTTGATACGCTTATCACTGTAAACGATAGAATATTTTTTTATCATTTAACATTTATTTCTTGATAAATACAAAACGTAATAATTGTGTTTGAAGAAATTGTGTTAAATGGAAGAAATTTTTTACTTATTATTTATTACTAATTCATTATTGGATGCAGAACACATTTTTTTCTATTAAGTTTCATACATTTTAAGGCCATTGTTACTATAACGTCATAAAGAGTTGTTATAAAATGAAACAGCGTCATATATATATATATATATATATTTATCTTAATATCATGATTATTTCGATGATTGGATCTGTTTGTATAATAGTATATAAAGCAGCAGTAGTGAGGAAAGACGCGATTAGTCAGACATCGCGACTTTCCCCGTTTCATCTTACGAGAAGACCCAAGATATTTCGTGCGAGACGTGGAGAAGCTGCGTTTTATCGTGCGTTATTGCGTCTATTTCCGACGAGGACTATTACTGGCGTTTATATATAGCGTGCATTTATCTAATTAATAGCTATTAGCCGCGCGGCCTCCGATTCTCGGTCGACTTGTCGGCACGATGTTGTGCTAAGTCAAAAGCTTCCGGGCACCTTCTTCCGCGTGACACCTGTCAGTTCAACTGAGCAATTTACACACTATTATCCACATCGCGTGATCCATGAACTTGCAGTGACCTATGAAAAACACATAAAAAATGTTTTCGTAAATTTTAACGATACTATCGTACCACGAGAGTGTCTCTTCCTTTTTTTATCAACCTTAACATTTATTATCTAACGTTAATTTGTCCTATGCGATTAGGTACACTCTAGGCCAAAAGTGTTTGGAAACACTTTTTAAAAACTGACATTTTTAGAATTTTAATTCCAGATTAGATAATTTTAAATTATGTTTCTAAAAATATTGTTTATACACGTCTCCTTGAAATATGATGTTCTTTCACTAGTTACTCATAATGGTTATTGTGAAGATTATTGCCAAAGCCTCAGAGGTCGAATTAGGAGGACGCCCGCACGGAATACGAGAAATCTGGGCTGAGGTAATATTTTTCGCAATAAAATTATTTCTAGTTTTTAAATATTTTATTAACAAATTATTAATATTCATATAAGATGCTTATTATTATAAAAAATTATTAATTTGCTTGTCAATTTGATATGTGACGTTAATACTCTAGTTCTGTTTATGATTGCGTGTCAAGATTGAAAAAGATTTCAGTGCGCGGTTTGCGAATTGATATATATAAATGTACACTGAAATATTTACACACTAAGATCCGCTTTGATCGAAAATGGGATTTCTCTTTTTTAATTTGATTTTTTTAGAATTACTTAATCAAATATATTCATAACAATGTGTTATTTTATAATAATTTTTTAAATTAAATAACTGTTATTAGAACTAAAAAATTAGTTTTAAAAAACATTGTTATGGATATTTGAGTAATTAATCTAAAAATTAATGTAAAAAATGCAACTTTTTTTAAAAATGTTTTTAATCTTTTGACGTGAATATATTATATATTTTATAGATAAGCATAATTCTCATTTAGACAAATAAAAGATATAACCATTTTTCAAAATGCTTTTTGTACCGTTTTTGGTAGCGATATTGCATTTTGCGGATGATTATTACAATGATTCTTCCACATACGTCAAGATATGCCGGAGTCCTAGTTTCAGATTTTACTCTTGGCAGAGCGAATCTGTGACTGACTAACGGGCATCCTCTCTACCACGATGATTCACCTGCGGGCGAAATAGCCATTTTCCAGGTAAAGCCGTTTCCGTGGTGGAAAAGCGTACGTGCCCTATTAAATAAACGTCATTGCTCTTGATTAAAGTAATCCATTAATTCAATGGGTGCGTGCCGCGTAGAGGTACCGCCTTTTCTTATTTACGTCAATTCGCCTTTATACAGTTTTCTTCGACGCCGGCCGGCATGTTTTATTCAGCGCGTGTAATAGAATTGTGCAAAAATAGCAATTCGAGTTAATGCATTTCTGCGAATCACGGAAAATGTTAACATTGAAGAGCCGTATTCGTTTGATTGCATTTCCGCGATTAAATTATGGAAATACACATGGTCGTTAGCAGCTATTATCTCAATCGTGCAATTTCAATTTCTTAAAAGGAAACAGATTAGTTTTAGAAAAGTTGTAATCTACTTTCTAAAAATAAATAATTACAACTTTCTTAAACTAATTTCGAGAAACAAGCAAGTATGAAATATTTACGTATCTTAGTTCGAAAATATAACATTGATGTAATCCTATTTTATTTTAAGCAATGTATGTTAAATAATAAAATCAATATTTTATAAAAATTCGAAAAATATATTTACTATATGTAGAATATTATTTATTATTTCTAGCGACTGGAAAATTACGACAAAAATGTATTACAACGAATTTAATTTAGTGCAGAATCGTAAAGAGTTAACAATGTATATCGATATATTCTGACATTAAAAAAATTTTATTAACTTAGCGTCTAAACATTTTTTTCGTTTTTTTTTTATAAATCAAAGACGGACGAAACGAGAAGTTGACCGCGTTCCGCTATCTTCACTGTCAGATTTATCGGGATAATCTGTCAGTTGGACAGCACATGGCACTTCGATATTATTCGCTTAACGTATACATGAGAAACCACATGCGATCATGAATGCGTTCCTTAAAATTCATCTTGCAATCGATTACGTATATTAATCGAAAGATTTATTTCGCAATTTGGCATTTATGTTTTTCAAAATTATTCGAAGCCATCTGACAAGAGTGTTTCATGTACAACTCCGGATAATAACGTACACTTGATGGACTTTCTCTCTCTCTCTCTTTCTACATAAATACTTCCTACATAAAAATACTTCCTAAAGATATATGTATATCTTGAAAAAATGAAATAAATTTCAAAACAGTGAAATATACAAATTGTTTCTTAATATCAGTGTAATTATTTTAACAGATACTCTCATGCATTAATACAGATCATTAAATAACAATAAAATATTAATCAAAAATAACTTTAAAAAATATCTTATTCCAAATTTATCTAAAGAAATATAAGTAGTAAAAAAAATCATTTATTTGTCAAGATTTCTGTACCAGTCATTATTCATGCATGATGTAATTCAAAATACTTACTCAATCGAGTTAGTTCATACATGTTTCAGTGATATAAAAGAGAGAAGGGAGAGAGACAGACAGACAGAGAGAGAGAGAGAGAGAGAGAGAGAGA